CGAGTGTGAATGGGTGATGATTGAGGAGAAGGCTCAGGTTTCCTTAGAATGGGAGAAATCTTTTTCATATTCAAAAAGAAGAAAATTGAGTGCTTTAAGTACATTTAGTATACCATGGGTTAGACCTGGTGCTGTTGGTAAAAAATCAAGACCTGCCAGTAAAGCAAGTACTAGATTTTCAATGGCCTCAACAATTAAAAGACCCGTACCTGCGATAATGGCAATGTTTGATAGATCAAGACCTGATGATCAAGTGTTTGCCACAAATTACAAGTTTCCACCAAATGCGATTAAAAAATATAAAAAAGAAGAAAATGAGTCTGAGGAAATTAGTGTTTCACGCAGGATACACAATAATGATGATTCAATTGTTGTACAATTCGAAGCTACAAAAACCAAACATTCTCAAGTTCAATACACATATAAAGAAGGGGATTACAATGAAGAAAATGGTTATTATGATGATGAGTATTATGAAGATTATGATAATAATGTTGATGGGTATTTATCAGATCCTGAATATTATCACAATAACAGTTACAATAATAATAATAGTTATTATTATAATAACTATGAAGAACAAATGGGTTATGAAGAAGGTTATGAAGAACAAATGGGTTATGAAGAAGGTTATGAAGAACAAATGGGTTATGAAGAAGGTTACGAAGGCGGCTATGAAGAAGGTTATGAAAAAGAAAATTATAGTGAAGGTGATTGGGAGGGAGATGAATATGCATACTCATCAGCAAAAAATTCACAATATTCAGAAAATGATTATATTAATCAATATTCACAAAACGATATACCACAACTACCTTCAACTACAAAAGGATACAATAACTTTGCTCAAAGACAAATGATGAAACAAGGTAAATTAGTACCATCACAATATCAGCAACAATATCAACAACCATTGTCAACTAGAGATAGCAACTATAATGATGATGGTGAAGGCGAAGGTGAAGATGAAATCATTGTGGAAGAGAATGCTGATGACATGGAACCACAAATAGTTAATCCAAAATTATTCCCAATGACAGGATTTTATCAACCTTTAGAAACTAAAAATAAAAAAAAAATAAACAAAAAGACAAAATTTAAATTTTAAATTATAAATAATCACCACAAAAAGGAGAGATTGATTTTAATAATAAACTTATTTGCATTCATATACATTATTTTTTTATATTTTTTTCTCATTAAGCATACATACACACACATTACACATACACATATACATATACATATACATATACATATATATATTAATACATTATTTATACTTTATCATAATAGTTAATTATAATATAGTAGATATTATTAATAGAATATTTATTAAGATATTGTAGGACAATATTCTTTTCATTAGTCAATAAATTTTTAAAAATTTTTTTTAATGATTTAACCTGTGTTAATTATTTTATTTATAACTTTGCAAAAATCATCTGCAAATTTTGTCTAATTTTTCTATGAAGGAATTGTTGCAATAGTTCAAGGAGAAGAAGCAATTGATGATTCGTTACTGAATTTATGGTAACTAACTATCAATATTTTTTTATTTTAATAAACATTTTCCCACTCATTCTATTTTATTTCATTCTATGTAATTTTATTGGACGGAATAATGTAAAAAGTCATGTTATCTGTAATACTCCAAGTATTTAATTAAACCATTAGAAATTGCTCGAGTTAAAAAAATAATCTTTGAATAAACAACTAATAATATCATTAATTTTTGCATAGTTAAAGAGGGAGAGCCCTCACGAATTGTTCCCATGATCCTTTCTGATTGTTAATGATCTGTCCAACATTTAATTATTAGTTAGGAACCCTTTTGATTGTGCTGTGTTGCTTGTGGGGACGCCTCAAGTGGCATAGTTGTATATAAGTCTGTAATTTATTCAATGATTGATAGCTAGCTTTATAGAGGTATATATTGGGTTTGGAGCCAGAACAATATATATATTTAGGGTAAAGTCAGATTGTATCTGACCGGAGGGGGTCTGAAGAATATAATAGGTCATTATATTGGGCTTGGAGCCAGAAAAATATAATGTGGAAATGCTCAGAGGCTGGTAAATCTTTTGATGGTGATAAGGGGACAAAACTTCTCTATGAACGAGGTATAAAGGCTTTGAAGATGATGAAAGATATGTTCCAGTCTCTATGTTTAGCTGTTGGGATGGAAGAAGAAAAAAAAAAATAAGAAAATTGCAATCAATTGGTTTTATACATGTGGGTAGGTTTGGTGGAAGGATTTTTTTCACATTGTTTAGTTTATTAACTCATCAAATAATTCACTGTGAAGGAAATTTAGGTCTGATGATACTGTTACTCAGATTGGATTCTCCCGCTGGCTATGTATGTCGAATACTTCGGATCAGGGTTGGCAAATTGACTGGTCCATTGAGATTAAATATAGTTGAAATGTTACACTAATGTACCCAATGGACTACACATTTGCCAACTCTGAATCATAGTTTAACAGGAAATTTTATTGGTAAAAACGAATTTCAATGATGCAATTAATCAAACTTAATGATAGTAAATAATACGGTTTTTACACATTTACATTATTATTATTTTTTTTTTACCTTTTTCTTTTTAGTTGCAAATAATAAATGTATACTGTAATTTAGCATAGATTAAATTGCATCATTAATAAAGTATTGCTTATGAGCAGAGAGACTTTGATTCATGTTGGATGATATTAGCCGGCTAAGGAATATTTTGCGAATTGCATATTTCTTTGATTAATGCAATAGTCTATTTATTAGATTTAAAATAAATGAACTTAGCTGTTTCTTTGTATTTTTTTTTTTTTAATAATAAAGATAATTCTCTTCCCGTTCATCTGGAAAATTCACGTGACAAAAGATCTGCAATATAAGGGAAATTTTTCAAATTTTTATTTTGATAAACTTTTTTGTAACACGTCATTTTAGGGCTAAACAGTAAACCGGTGCAAATTTGAAGCTCAAATTCTCCACAACAACATGATATATCAATGAGATGAAATCGTGATTTTGTAGAGGAAGGTCTTGGCTTCAAATACACGATTTATTTTGGGATGTTGCATTTCCATTTTTGGAGAATTTGAAAATCTACACGACCAATAAAAAGTTGTGGGACTAAGTGACGAAAAAATATATATATATTAATATTAATAGGTTTTCTGAACCAAATTTTTGGAAATCTGGAAATAATGTAGTTGATCATTTATTCAACAATATCAAATGGGATCGATCATCTTTGTTAACTCATATTTTAGAATGGATACCTTTTGAGCAATTTGAAGATATAACAAAATTAGCCGAAGTTCAATTTATACTGCTGGATGGACAAGATGTTCATATGATTGATTATGATGAAAATAACAAGGAATTTAATTATTTAGAAGCACAAAGAGTAATATCAAAAAGTTTAAATAATTCAATGAATCCAGGAAAGGGCTTTTTTTATGAGGTTGGTGGTTGCCATTTGAAATAAAAATAAACAATTTTGTATTATATAATAATAATTGGTTTTATATTTATTTTCAGACAATGAATTATTGTAAAATTAAATCAGGAACAATTGTTTCTTGCCATGGTATAACTAAGTTCCCAAATAATGGCAATTATGCAATAGTTTTAAATTATTATAGAGAAGGAAATTTAAGGGATTACTTCCAAAAAAATCATTTACATTTAACATTAAAAGACAGAATTATAATATTTAGATATTTATATGGTGCATTACATCAAATACATTGAAAAAATTTAACCATTGTGATTTACATAGTGGTAATATATTAATAAGTGGAGGTGGTTGTTATATTACAGATTTGGGATTATGCAAATTGGTTGATGAAAAATCATCAAATAAAATCTATGGGATCATATCATATGTTGCACCCGAGCTACTCAGAGGCAAAATTAATACAAAGAACACAAAGGCAACAGATATTTATAGTGCTGGGATGTTAATGTAGGAAATATTTGCGGTCATCCACCATTTGATGATAGAGCTCATAATCGTTGTTTAATTTTTGATATATGTGAAGGCTTACGGCCACCAGTATTACCTGAAAAATGCCTGATGATCATGCACAAATGATGAAAAAGTGTTGGGATGCAGATCCATCTGAAAGACCAACTAGCAAAGAGCTTGTTTTTTTTCGCTAATAAAAAGTTGAAAGGAACTCATACAACCAAAAGTTTGAAAAATGATAGTAACAATAATAGCTTAATAAAAAGATTATTAAAATTTTCTAAATTTTAATAATGATGGTAGCAGCAGCAACAGCAGCAATGGTGGTAGTGGTGATTCGCAACAAGTACACAAATCACATTCAGATGCATATCATATTAGATAAAGAAATTGCTAAATCAAAAAGCTTAAAAAGCTATACAAGTAATGATGGTTCATTGAATAATCTTGATTTTAACTCTTTTTCTAAAATGTTAAAAAAGGTAAATTAAGTTTTTCATTAATTGAAGTTTATTAACTACTAATAAGATTATTTATGATTCACTTAATAATAATAGTAATAAAAACCATCTTGCATAAGCTGAATTGATAAACCGATTCTATTTTTGTGTTTCCCAAAAGTTCGACTTACTCAAGGTTTAAAAATCAAAAGATTGCCCTTATAAAGAATCTACTGTTTATTTTTAATTATTTATTTACAGGTTATATATCACACCATTAAACCGCCATCTTCTTTCTAATGGATGTGACTATTACAACTTAAATTTTGAAAACTACCATTACTAAACAACTGTTGCTGGTACTTAGTGCCATATCTCAAGATTTATTTTTTATTTACATTCTAATAATAATAATTTTTGACGTATAATACAAAAAAAAAGTTTTTTATTAATTAATAATGCAAATATATATATACATATACATATACATATAAATATAAATATACATATATATATACATATATAAATATATTAATTTATTAATTTAACGTGACTGACAATTTAGTATAAAAAATACGTGTGATATAATTAATGTGCAGTGAATTCTACTTCTTGAAAAGTAAACCCTTCTTCAAAGGCAGTAGATAGATCTGGGTAATCATCTGAAAAAAACTCCATGCAATGATGAAATATCCTAAATCCAATCTCTCGAATAAAATTATTTTTACTAGTAAATTTTTTTGATGTTTTTCTTTTTTCTAGGTCATAGTTTTCCAACATTTTTTTGGTAATATCACGTTCACTGAAATTTTCCTCTTTTTTATAATATTTGTGATATACAAGTAATCGTTGAATTTTCACTGATTTTGACATATCTTTTGTAAGAAGGCCTTCTTTCTCTGTAAATTTAAAATAATTTTTAAAATCTTTAGGTTTCCAATCTTTAACACAATCTTCAATGTTATCCATAATAGGTATTTCAGAATTTGATTGTATCGGGTCTTCTTTGGAACACATCAATGACAATTTTGTAGAAAAATCAGATTTCTTTTTTTTCGAATGAATAAGTTATTATTACCAAGTAATTAATTTTAAAAATGAAATAATAATTATTCTTAAAAAATATATATTTTAACCTACCAACAACACTTCAATCAATATATCAGGTTTTGTATATTTTACAAAAGAATAAATCAATATGGAAAGTCGAATTCGTAATTGTATGTCTGATGTGTTGACAAAGCACCTTAATAGTATGGGTAATATTAACGCGGCAAATAATTTTTGAGCTTTAATGAATTTATTATCTTGAAGTTTACTGTTTGTCCAATAATCACCAAATTGATCAACAGTTTCTTTCTCATCTTTCTCATCTTTCTCATCTACTATTTTAAATGTTGAAATAGACACACACACACATATATATGAAATGTGTACAGCGTGAATATAAAGAAAAATTTTTAAATCAATTAAATAAATACCTTCAGTTACTAGATCCATAGTAGTTGCACTACATGTATCAAGAATACTAGCTGTATCCTCAACATAAGATGATGCTAAAAACAAATACGTAATATGCATATTTAATAACAACAATAATAACAATAATCTAGATAAAATGATGACAACTAACTTTCTGTCATATTGTCTACTTCCATTCTTATACGTTTATAATCTGTTCATTTTTTTAAATATATAAAAATTAACTGGTTATGTTTTGAAAATCGCTTCATTAAAAAAATACATCTTTTATTTAAAACAACAACAATGACAATACCAGTTGGAGGGTCAATTTCCATAGTTATCAATGGCGACGGCTCAACATCAAATATATTCTTCTCTTCAACTACATCTTTAGCTTGATGATTTCAAATTCAAAAATTCAAAAATTTATTTAATAAAATATTTTACATACACAAATGCAAGAAAAATATTTAAATTAACTAACCAGTCGTCTTTGATTTCGTAGAATTTTCGGGAGTTAGTGTTTGAGGTTCTAAGTAATATGTTGTATCTATTATTCCTTTTTAAATTATATTGGCATAAATTGTTAACGTGGTATTTTTTTAAAAAACAATAGAAATAATATTTATACAAGATTAAAAAAATAATGTGTACGCAAAATACCTACATACCAACCATATTAAAACCAAATGGATTTTGAGATTTTTCTATTAGTCAGTCAAAAAAATTGTTGTATTTAATTAAAAAAAAATATAAATAAAAAATACCAAAGGATTCATGCTTATACTCGGGAAATAAATTCAACAGCAATCCAATGATTGTTGAATAAAAATTATCAACATGATTATAATAACAAAAATTTTCTCCAATATATTTTACAATTTTTTCAATCATCACACTTAATGACAATTGATCTCCATCTCCGCCAATGATTTCATTAACATCTTTATTAATTATTGAAATAAATATGGCCTTTGAAATCTCATTGTCAAAAATTTCTTTCATAGTTTCAGGCAATTTAGTTGCTATATTTGTCAATAAATAAAACCCTATTAATTGATCTTCCTTACTGTAAATATTATTTAATAGAGATATGAAAAATCATGGTTGTGGTTAATTGATTATGTTTAACAATAATAACTAATAATCAAATAAATCTAATGAATAATTTGCATGATGCATACCTCATAATCCCGAAGCTACTTATATATGGCTTAATTATATGTTCTTGTGAAAAAAGCTATTAACATATACGTAAAATTTATTTTTGTGAGTAATGCAAATCTATACAGATAATTTAACTAATTCATACATTATACATTATTATTCTTACCAAAGAAATTTTAGGTAAATTTTCCTCAAGATCATAAATAACCATATAGGTGATACAGATACTAGCCTGATGTAAAACGATATCCTTTTCATTATTTGAAAAAATTGCCACGAATCCATCGTTATTTATGGTCAAATCTCTCAGTATATCAATACTATCCTTGGGAAGGTTTATAGAGTTTCTGCAACAATTTGCCATTAGCCAAATTGGTAATGCTCGATCATTGTCAGACATAAATTCAAATATATTTTCCATTAAATGTCGAATGATATCTGTTTGTAAAATCAATTCAATACAATCAACTCTATTTGGTATAGAAAATTGTATTAAAGCCTATAAAAACAATAGTATATATATATATATATAAATATACATATATATAAATACTTGAGCAAAAAAACTTTTTTGATGAAATATATAATCAATTCAACTAGAAATTACAATATACCGCTATGATATCATTTAGATAATCCAAATCATTTGATAAAGGCTCTTTGATTAATTGACATAAATTTGGAATGGCAACTTCTCTCACTGCATTACCGATATATTGTTCAGCATTATTATCCAAGAGAATTGTCAAATTGCACATACATTTACATGCTATTGTTATTCTTTTTATGTGAGAATTATCAGGATCTGCTATTCCAAGTATTGCTTGTAAAGTCGCAATATCAATTTCTGTGCCATAGGCTGACAAGTCTGATAGTTGGGGAGGCGGAGTTCTTCTAGTCAATATTGTAGCAAGTTTACGAATAATTAAATTGTAATTCCATCCTTCAATCAAAGATATATCAGGATTTGCCAAAAAATTTGAAAATCTAGTTAATGTGTCTGTTTGTACATCCACATTGTTAGTGATTTTTGAGACTATTGATTTAATTTCTCTAAGAGTGGGAGTATTTCTTGGAGAATCGCCATTGTTATCTGTGTTAAAACGCATGTTTAATAATGGCATCGGTCGACGCATAAAAGGTAGTGGAATTTCATCTCGACTTTCAGTATTATCTCTACTGCTAGACATCTTGTTTAAAAAAATAGTTTGTATGTGTTAAAAATTAATTCTTAATCTTTTGATCAGGAAAATGTTGCACTAGTACATATAAATTTGTAACAACTGAGTATACACAAAAATATGTGTTCATTACAAAAATGGAATTAGCGATATGGCTTTAAATTGGTTGCGCCACTAAGCATTTACATTAAAAATTAGCAGTACTGCTATTATTATTGCAGAATCAATTTGCATTTTATTATTACGCACTATATATATAGATATTTAAATGCGCACGCATATGGGTCACATTTCATAGCCCATAAATTTTTCTTTCAATAATCTTTCCACTCTTGATACCTAAAAAAAGAAAAATACAATAAATTTTTTAAATAATGATAATGATGACGATGACGATGGTGGTGATGACGGTGATGGTGAGAATATAACACATTGAAAAATAGATTTATACTCAACGAATTGAGGAAATTCACGATCTTTTAATATATCACCAATCCATTCTTTTAATTGGTCATCATCAATCGGTAAAGAGTTGTCAACATTTGTCCTCGAGTGAGATAGAAGATGAGGAATTGTTGATGTTAATTTTTCTTGATGAGAAGAAATTTGTTCGTGCTGCTTTTGAAAATCTTGATTTGTTGTTCTGGTCCTTGAATTTCCAAGTAAGGTTTTATCTTGTTCTGTCACGCCTGATTTAAAGCCAAGCAAAAGATCACCATCATATTTTTCTTCATAACCCTTTTCTTCTTGTTCTTTTGCTAGTTCATTAATTGAAGTAGTGGATTGTGTCCGGAAAATTTTTGAGGGGGTGATTGGCTCTTGTTTCATTTTATGACTTGCATCATCTGATTCAGCTGGTGATATCAATTTGAGATTTGAAACAGGTAAGTTTTTTTGTGAGATATTTGAATAGTGATAATCGTATGGCGAACGGGTATGTTCTGTTTCCTGGTAATACATGAATTTCATATTATCATTGCGAACTAGACAAACATTATTGTCTGATGGGATAAATGGTGTATCATTATAATTATCATCACGTATTTTTTGAGAATTATTTTTTACATAATGAGACGCAGTAGGGTAATTCTGATGTTGTTGATGTTGTAAGCGTTGGATTGGTTGTTGTTTTTGTTGTTCTAGATTATCAATAGACTGATTCCTTAATAAAATTTCTTTTAAAGGTGTTCTAGTCATCATATTTTGTTGTGAATTTTGGTAATTATTTGAATCATTGATTGGTGTTGATATGACTCTTGTGTTCCTAGTTATTGACAATTCATGATTTTTTATAGGATTTTCGTGAACCTCGCTTGGTTCTAGGGTTGATCTATGTTGTGGTGATGATGACGATGGTGGTGGTATTGGAAATAATGTATGTGGTAAAAATGATGGAGGTAAAAAACATTGTGGCCCTGACGGTTGTTGTAGTAGTGGATATCTTTTATAATGTATTGGCAATTGTGGATTGTTTTTATTGTTATTATTAAAATCTTGAGGTGAAGTTTCTCCAAGTTTTCGTGAATCGTTTGAAAATGGAGAAGGCATTGAAGTATCGTCTTTAAGTCTTTTATTATTGTTTTTAATATTCATCCTATTTGAAAATTGAACCAAATCATTTCCAAGTATTGGTTGACAACTAATATAACGACCAAGTATTCTCGAACACAAATCAAAATCTTGGCTATTTTTAAACCTTATTTGAAATTTACGTATTTCTAATACAATGTTATTGTTCGTGTTTGTGCTTGAGTGTGTATAATAATGATTATATCTAATTCCAATTGTTGGACTTTTTAATAAAGCCTTCGCTTTTATAGAATTCACATTCTGATAAGAAAAATTTAAACATTCCTAGAAATATAATATTTGCAAATTGTAATTTTGTGAAATATTAATATTAATATTAATATTTGCATACGCACCAACACGTTATTTTTATCATGTATAACTTTTAAGATTGGATGAGTATCTTCATTATTATTATTATTATTATTATCGGCAATATTTGTATTGTTGATGCTAGTTGAATACATATTTATTAAGAAAACATTAATATTTTCTTGTTGAAAATGCAACCAACCAGCTTTCTGTTGTTCATTTGTCAAAGAATTTTTATTATCACCAATAGTAGTGGTGATGTTATTATTAGCAAATATTGAAGAGTATTGTCTCGAGTATTTTTCTATTTCGAATTGTAATGGACTTTGGGACATTTTTTTTTTTTTTTAAATTAAAAAAGATCCATCAACGCAGATCAGGCTGAAAGCAACCTTTTTGTCTGATTCTTAGAAAATTGGTTGTTGTTAAAATTATCAAATATTAGAATATTGGGATATTACAATTATTCTAATATCCCTTGGTCAAAGAAAAGTCAATCTAAAATGCAACGCAAATACAAATGGGAATCTTTACGATTTTTTTTTTCGAAATTCCCAAATTGCCCATCCCCATTGAAAATATAATCATTTTTTAAAAAAATAAAAACAAAATCTATATATATTTTTATTTTTTTTTGTAATAAATAAATAAAATAATGAATTTATGAATTTATGAAGAAGTATCATTAATAAATTGAAGAATTTGTAATTTAGTAATTTCCACTAAATCACTGCCACCATTAGAAAGAGCTTCCAAAATCCATCCAGAAGCAGAACCGAGAGATTTTATCAAGAAAACAATACAAACTACTGCAAATACAACTCCAAATACAGCTCCAAGGAAAAGACCAAAAAAACTTCCAAAGATTGATAAAATAAATGGTGTACAAATACCACCAATTGCTGCCAGCATAGCAAAGACTACAGGTATAATGAACAAAGATACGAACGCGCCGACTACCAATGTGCAAAGATAAAAGTAATGCAAGACTGGATGGTCGTCTCGTAAATCTTTAGGATTCATAATGTAAAATGTAAAATTTTTTATACTGTCACCATTTGAATTCATTGTCGCCACTCTTCTATTAATGCTATCTTGAAATGAGAATTTGTTGCCGGTGTTTTGATTAAACCTATGAGGACTTGGTATTAATTCTTTAAAAAAAAAAAATTTTTTTTTAAAATTAATTTTATAAAAAAAAATATAAAAACGGCAGAATAAATAAAGTACCATTGGCAATTTGTTCATTATTATTAATAAGTTTGTTTATAGTTGTTGACGATGCATTAGTTGTGGTTGCCATGATAAATTAATTCTGTTGATATATATTATTATTTTTTTTTTTTTTTTTAAAAAAAAAGTTTTAAAAACTCGAGAAATTAATTTAAAATTATTTATATACAATTTTTATCTTGTGAATAGCACATGTTAAAAAATATATATAGAAAGGATACAGTTATAATAAGGGAATTTGGGAAGTATCGTGAAAAAAGCAATTTTGAGTTAATACGACGCAGATCATTTATTAAAAAGAAGCACGTTATTTATTTACATATTAATATAGTAAATTAATTTTTTCACGAATTAAGTTAAAAAAAAACTTCTGCTAAAACTAATTTCTGATCATTATCTATTAATCATCCATCCACCCATCCACTTATTCATAAATATCTTCTCTATGTCAAAAAAAAAAGGATGTATATATTAAAATTTCATCCAGTAAACCAAAATATTTGTATTAATATTGTCTTCTTCATATTAAAGAAGTGAATTTTTTACATTAGAAAAAGTCATTAGAATTAAAAATCATTAAACGTAATTTTGTTCTGAATAAAGCTGTTGTAGTTGATAGTGAAGTAAGCCGATTAAAGCCACAAGTTAATAGATCGTCAGATGATGAAGAATTGTCCTTTTTCGATAAATAATTATCTAAATGAATCAGATTTGACAGTGTGGTGATGGTGGTAGCGGTAGAGGTTGTAGTTAATTAGTTAATTGTTGCTGAAGGAGAGGAAAGGGAAGAAGAAAAAGGAATCCGTGATGGATTTAGTCTTGGTGATGTTATTGGTGATGAATAAGTTGATATAGAAGGTGATGATGATTGTCGAGAGTTTTTCAGTGATGATGAGGAGTAATAATATCTGTTGTTCATTCCACAAGGACTTAATTCATCTTTCCTTTTACAAGATTCACTACAGTATTGATTTTCTATTGCAAATACTTGACAATCACATCCAGGACACCATGAAAGATCCATTATGAATTTGAAGAAATGATAAATTATCAAATTTATAATTAATGGTACAGACAGCTTTGGGTTTTAAAAATATGATTTTTGGATGAAAAAATAATTTAAATAATTTAAAAAAGTAAGCAGGGAAACGGTTAATGATTATAAAAATGACATTAGCGGGAATGAGCGAGAGAGGAGTGAATAAGAAAATGAATAACTAATTTTTTATTTTTTTTTTCTTCGAGTTTTTATATGTATTTAACTGATTTTCATTCTTCATTCTCCAAACTCTTGATGATTAACCCGCAATTCTTAAAATGTAAGTTTGACAAATTACAATTGAATTTTTCATATATCAAATGGAAGGAATGAGGAGTTAATTCATTCAATAGTTTTTTCTTGGATCTTTATGGTTATTAAAAAAAAAAATTTTAGTTAATCAGTCATTAAATAAATAATGAGCACCATAATGATGATGATCTAATATATATGACTGATTGATTAATATTAACGAGTAAATATTTAAGGGTGGAGTGTAGTCATTGTCTATATGATCAGCAATTCCCGAACCTCTTTTAAGTCACTTGTCTCATACACTAGTTTTCGTGAGATGAAAATTAAAACTTGAAAGTTAAGCTAATCACTAACAAAACATATAAAATTTTCTATAAATATATTTTAGTTCTTTACCGATGAGTTCTCAAGAAAGGTAAGTGGTATGAGTGGTATTGAACTTATTCATATATAAATTTGGAAGCATTAAACATGGTCTAATTTAAAAATATAGCTTTTCCAAAATGTTATTATCAACTAGATGAGTTGAAGGAAGTAGAATAACAAGATAACAAACAAGATAATAATATGTCTCCCACGTATATATACTATGGTGCGGGACCTCTTAAACCACCATTTACTGCGCCTCGCGGTCAAATTTTAAAAATTTTCAATTCATCAAAAATGCAATAATGTTTAACTCCGCAATGTTACACGACATCAATTTTATTATTTTAAAGGTAATAAAAAATAATTTATATAAAATAATTTTAATTATTAATATTATTAATATTGTTTGGAATTTTTCTGTGAGATTTGTACTTTTTTGACAATATGTAAGGCCTCTACTCCTGTTAATCCTTATATTTGTTATTTATTTGATAATGAAACAGATTTTAGAAAATAATGAAAATTTAATTTGTAACATGATTCCATCACTTATTGCAGTCAGGGACATTTCCATATTGGGATTCGATTCCAGAATAGTCTGCTGATCAATTCATTATATGTTACAAACAAATTCACAAGATACTTTTATGTTACATTTTCTAAAAATAAATTGGTTTATAATAACTGAAAGAAATACTATTAAACTTGCTTTTTCATAATCTGTTAATAATCTGTAATAATCTGTTGATTTGTTCAAAGTACATTTTTACTAAAATAGAAATTTATGACTAGAATTTAATTTTTATTGGTTTTTAAACTATTATGTTTGTATTGTTTGCATGAAGATATTGAAAACAAATATCCAGAAAGCCAGCTGATGCTATGTTGGTGCAAATCTTATTATTAAGTATATTCAGAATCACCATTACTATATTTATTCATGTAAATTAATTTGTTAATAATGATATACTTTTATTATTTATTTATTTAAAGGTAGTTTAAGGATACTGACTGCAACTTTGATGATGGTTGTAACCACCTTTACATCATATACAAATGATTGCAACAACTAGTTGTAACTGCCTTTGCAACAACTTTGTTGGATTGCAGCATGGAGCACTAAAGTAGTTCAGTATGAAAATGTAAGCATAAAACTCCAAATAAATTATTTTGTATTATTTACAATGGTGGCTATTGATTTCAATATATTAATCATTATTTATTTTTGCTATATGGATTTTGTATTCCTTTATTTATTATTTTCTCCCTTTGTAATTTTTACTCTAAGTGCTTAATATGCATTTGTTTCTCTTTTCATAATTTTCTCATTAATAGAATTGGCAAGGAAATTTATATGGTATTATTTAAATTTAAAATGAAGTATTTGTTCTGATGAATGGCAGCTTAATAAATTATTTAATAATGGAATAAAAATCATTATTAATATAATAATATGCTATATATTAGTTAAATAGCATCTCTGAAATTGCTTGATCTTGGGTATACTTCTAGAAAAGCTAAAAATGCACATATTATATAATTTTGTAAATTACATGATCAATTAATAAAGCTCTCGCCATGTTTTTCTTGTTTTTCTTTTCCTTTAAAGATTATTATTTTTTATTCAATGAAAAGATCTGCACAGAATTTAGCCAATTAGAATTTCTTTTTATAACGTCGATCATTACAGGGTATTATCCCTGGTTGAATTCAGCCAATCAGAATTTCTTCTAGAATTTTTCATACCATCGATCATTACAATATTTAGTATTTCCATCTATGGAAATATCCCTGACTGTATTGATAATAGCATAGTGGACTTTCGATTTTGATCGACATTCGAAATCATCACGTTACACGATCGACATAGTCAATAAAAAAAATTCACGAAATAATTACTTATTTTATTTTTTAATTGAAAATGACTCAATCTAATAAAGGTCCTTGTTCTATTCTTAATTGTAA